TACTTTTATGATATGGAAACCGCGCGCGAAGCCGCTGGCAGAAGCTAGTAATTCATAAAATTTAAATAAAAATGAAGAATAATTTCCCAACGACCAATTTTTATCAACACATCCCTTTGAGTTTTTCTTCAATACGTATTTAAATAACTTGTAGTGACATGACAGCCGAAGGGAATGAAAAGTTCCAAGGAAATTAATTTAGCTTTTATGTGATTCTTATTGCTTCAGTTAAAATGAAATTCGAGCTGTGTGTTGTAATAATATTTCCTTTTCTTTTGATTTAATTGTGGTCAGACGTAAAAATGATTTAAGTAAAATAGGCAATGGAATAGTTATTCTTTGAAATATGTGGGAAGGACAATGGGAGGCTTTTTTTTAGCTGTAGATATTTAACGGTTAATGAAGATGATGATGATTCTTCTCTTTCATATTACACTTTTACCTCTGTACGAACACTAACAAGGTTATCAGAAATAAGTGGTACGTTGTTTTGATCAGCTTATGTTTACATCATATAAAAGTACAATTAAGTTAAGCTATGATGAACACAAAGTGACGAATTCAGTTAAACAAGCCTTCAAAGATTGTTGCCTCCTCGCAACTCAGCAATCGCAAAGGACATTCCGGGCGTCGGGGATCGCGTGACGATCACTGGCCACCTTAAGCACGAGCCTGCGGACGGTGAGCTTGAGTGGCTCGCCGCCCGACCAGAACCAGACCCGAGAGTACGGCGCGTCGCGTTCCGCGCGCGCCTCCAAGAGCCGTCAGAGCACCGCGGATGGGGACTAATAGGGCTGATGCCGATTCGGAGCCGCGGAGAACCTAACGGGTTACCGGGGCTCCGGCTCGAAGTGCAGGAGTAGAGACGGGGTGGTTTTTAGTCAGTAAGAGCCTGACACTCCCTCCCGCCTCAGCGAGGCGCCTCACCGAGGCGGGAGAAGTCATTGGATGATTTTCCCCCTTATAAAATGCCTTCAAAGATTAGAAACCAAACTAGATTCTTGTGAAGAGAAAAACTAAAATATATTTCAGAAGATATCAAAACTAAACGAAGGTTCTTAAGTTAATATCAGTAACATAATAAAGAGCGTAATAAGATCTAGGACTCTCAAGAAATTACTAAGCGTAAGTGCTTACAAAACAAAATACATTAAAGAACATAAGTAAAAGATACCAGGTGTTCATAAAGCTGAAGTGGTACTCAAATTATACTTCATTTTATTTATAGGTAGTCAATAAAAGGTTGGGAATGTGCAGTAAATGTTTATGGCGTGGAACTGGAGTCACGATGTATGCACCCAGTTTATGTTATCCTGGTACCAATGTGTTAAGTTATTGGAGTTAAAAGCATCGTGATGAAGTGAACGATGGATTTTATAGTCGTTTTGTGGTGTGGGGAAGTGAAACATGTAATGTTTATCGCGATGTTGCCACTGGGAAAAACTTGATTAAAACAACTGTGGTTCTGGCGACATAATTATTGCTACAATGGTGTCTTGCGCCAGGTTGTGTACCCTTGTGTACCCTTCACCGGTCAAGTCGCATATGATTGACCATAATATTTAAAAAATCGCAGTAAAGAACCTCAGACTTGGCGTCAACCTCAAACGAGTGTTTTCATCGAGACTTGGCTAGAATTTTACAGAATGTTTCTAGTTGGATAGTACCTTAAAAGGACCTGCAATAAAATGTTCTTTATGATGATATATATATATATTTTAAGACTTTGCACATAATATTTGTTGTATACTCAAGTTTTTCTGACCGCCTCGTTGACAGAGTGGTCACAAGTGCGATTGCCAGGCAAGGGGTCTCGGGTTCGATTCCCGGGTCGGGCAAAGTTTTACTGGGTTTTCATAAATCTCAGTAGTAGCACGGAGTCTCGAAATGTGTCCGGTATATGGCAATAGACTCACCCTCTATTACATGGGACTCATAAAAGAAATAGTGAAAAGTGGGTGTTACATTGTATAATGGCATTAAGCGCCGTAATATATACCTTTGCCTACCCCTTCGGGAATAAAAGGCGTTATGTTATGTTATGTTATGCCAAGTTTTTGACATTAAATCTATTCCATTATATCTTATTTTATAGATACTATTCTATTCTTAATCTTGACAATCAAAAAACGAATCAATCCTAAGATCATAACACAAGCCAACCAACCCAATCGAACTTCTACAATCGACAAACAAAAGTAGTCCTATCAAAATGTTTCAATTATGTATACCCTAATGGCGATCAAACGATACAAACTTCCAAAGACTACCACCAATACCCTGATCAAACAATATACCGGATAGGAAGAAAATGGTATCAAATTAGTTTCAAAGATCAAAGGGTCAAATTCAACAAGTAATAAAACTTTTTACTGAACGCTCTGAGCAAATGCTTTGGGCAGTACCCTCATGGTTTCCACAAGAGAGATAACAGAGTAACTTTGGTATTTGTTCGAAGAACTACCAGGGAACTATGATTATGAAGATTTCTGTTTAAATTTATCATTAAACTTCACATTACCTTTGTAGATTGCAAGTTGAGGATAATAGGGTAGACGACTAATTTTTATTTTAATGTCCGTCTGGTAGATAGTTTAAAAACATTAGACACGTATTTTTTATTTTCGTACAGAAACGCATAGTTTCGAAGATATATTGATTTGAAATGTCGCGTGACGTCACTTCTATGTATATTTTATGCACAGCAATGACGTTTTAGCCCCCACTCCTAAACTTTGATTCGTTTTATCTAAGTATTTTTAAATAAAAAAAATACGTGTCTAATATTATTTCATCACCTAACTTACGGACTAATTAGATTTTTAATTTTCATACCCTGCCATCATCCTCATTATGTAGGTACTTTGTCGAGAAATTATTGGAGAAGTGAAGAGATCTTTATTAAAATGAGGTTCTTAATCTGATCTGTATGTATGTCTGTGTGTATAAAATAATAAACAATTTTGATGCAAGTTTGACGTGAGTTTTAGTAAATTAATTAACCGATTTGCAAAAAAGAGTGGTTCGGAGTCGGTTTTTAAAACGCAGTTTATATAATAATTCTTATTTATATTAAAAATGTGACACTAAGTATTACTGCGGTACTTTCATTTCCTTTGAAATAAAACAAAAATTAAGTTATAAATATTTATTCAAGAATATCTTTGTACATTTTATTCATAAATTAATTATTTTGAATACCTAATACTTATATTTAAACTTAATTATAATGCAATAAATACCTGAGCAATAATTTATTTTGTAAATTACCTTAAATAAACAGTCTTAAAATCTAAAATAAATAAATGCATTATTAGACAGTGCTAATCTTAAAATTAAGAAAATACACATAAAATTAAATTGTAAAAATATGACAGAACAGAACCTGTTTTGGACAAATAAAAATTATATTTCGTGTGACCGTGATGCTAAAATATATGTAGATAGGTTTTTTACAGGATAAGCCTGTAAACGAACAGACGGATAACCTGTGGACACCTGGAACACCAGAGGTGATACAAGTGCGTTACCGGCCTTTTGGGGATTAGGAAATTGAGGATTGTTGGGCATTCAGGATCGGGGACATTGGGAAGGCGGGAATTAATTTATTTAATAATGCAGTATCATATTATAATCCACCAATTGGTTGAGATTCACACGTTCTGTGGTGAATATTAAATATTATTCAAATCTGTACATTAAAAAATGAATTATTCATAAATAAATTGTACATTACTGGAAATGCAATAGCAGTCTTTACATTGATGGCTCTATTGTCAGCAATGATTGAGCGTTCAGCGTTTATCGGATCGCTTTAAAAGTCAGTTTAATGTTTTAAAATGGTTTTGAAATATTAAATGACATTGTCTCTTAAACTGTCAAACACCAAGCGGTCACCGGTGACCGCAACCTATTGTTCTATAATTGTGTCTACAAAACCGGTACTCGACGAGTTAATTATATTCAGATGCACATTAGTAAAGCTACTGAAATGAATATTGGGAAACTGTTCATTTGTAAATATATAATAAAATTGTAGAAAAGTGCTGTCTGTACATTGAAAATAAAAATAAAAAAAATAGCAGGGGCTATTGTTATGTCGATGTCGAACCCAAAAATGTAACTAACTTTTTTTTTGTCTGTTTGTCTGTTTGTCTGTTCACGCTAATCTCAGAAACGGCTTATCCGAGTTGGATGCGGTTTTCACGAATATATTGTGGTATGCTTCAGTTATGCTTTAGTGTTTGTTTCATGTCAATCGGTTCATAAATAAAAAAGTTACGTCAAATTAAAGAATCACGTCGAACACTATCTATCTATCTATCTATACATATAATAAAATTGTAGAAAAGTGCTGTCTGTACATTGAAAATAAAAATAAAAAAAATAGCAGGGGCTATTGTTATGTCGATGTCGAACCCAAAAATGTAACTAACTTTTTTTTTGTCTGTTTGTCTGTTTGTCTGTTCACGCTAATCTCAGAAATGGCTTATAAATATATATATATTTAACAGGGTGCGGAAAAGGTGATAGTGGTTTTATTCCTCAGATTCCTCTCATTCCAAAAAATTTTCCGTTTAATTTTAAACGAATTCAGTTTCCAGTGAGCCTATGTTTCGCCATGACAATTAATAAAGCTCAAGGTCAGACTCTAAAAGTTGTGGGTATAGATCTAAGTATCAGCTGTTTTTCGCACGGTCAATTGTATGTGGCTCTGTCCCGTGTTAGCAATCCCAGCAGCCTGTATGCTTTCACCCCCGATGGCCATACGTCTAATATTGTATATAGAGAAGCATTACAGTAAAGTAGGTATTTTAGCTACCCAAAATGACTGTGATTATGATCCAAATCTAAAATAAAAATAAGTATATATTTTAAAAAAAAAACGCTGCTCATAGTCACTAGGTATTCTACGCGAACGAAGTCGCGGGCACAGCTAGTTTGTAAATATAAATGCAAGTTAATGTTGTCGTTTACATTTTTTTTTATTTTACTGTAGGATCAGTTATAATTTTTGATATCAACTTATTTATTACTGTGACAAGACAAAATTTTGTTATTTTACTAGTAATTTCGTGTAGGTACTTTTATGTGTATTTTTGTATGACGACAATTATTATAACAATTAAGATGTTTTTTACATGACAAACGAAAATCCTATCAAACTACCTAACATAAGAAGAACCACACAAAATCCCAAAATAAATAAACATAATATAAGCGTTATTAAAATATTTTAAAATAATAATGACAATAAATAAACTTACTTTAAAACTAATTACGAACCACCACTTATAACTACTTATGGCGTTTAAGCAACTGCGCCAGGCGCAGTGATGTAGGTCGGGGAGGGTGTGGGCCTGTGTTTCATCATGTTATAGGCCCTGTTTGAGGCCCAGTCCTTGCCGTATCCCCCACTGGCTGAATAGGCGTAATTATTATTGTAATCTGCTGAATAGTCGCTTGAGTCACTGCTTCCGAAATAGGAGTAGGACATCGGGTGGTGGTGCTGGAATAGAAGAAAATACTTTTTATTTATTTTGTGTCATATTATACTTTTTAAAGGTAGTTGAGTACAGGTACTTGTAAATATAATAAACGGACAAATCACTACATCTCCAGGAAGAGTCACACATTTTAGATTTATGTATTTTACCATAACATGACATCACGCCTGCCACGGTAGGCAGAGGTGCACATTATGCCACTGTACAATGTAACACCCACTTTTCACTATTTATGTTATGAGTCCCATGCAATAGGGGGTGAGCCTATTGACATATACCGGGCACAATTCTAAACTTAGTGCTACTACTGAGATTTTTAAAAAAACCCAGTAATGCTTTGCCCGACCTGGGAATCGAACCCGAGACCCCTTGCCCCCCTTGCCACTTGTCGTACTTGCGACCACTCAGGCAACGAGGCAGTCATTATTTGTATTTGTGTACGATATTGCATATCAATTCCGTAATTTAAATTCGAAATTGAAATGATTTTCGCCATTGTATACTCGTCGTGTGGTCAGATTAACTTATTAATTAACAATGTGTATAATTCGAGTTGCAATTTTTTTTTATATGAGAACATAATATATCATGAAAAGGATTAAGTATAAAATGGATTTATTGCCTATATTTTAAAATCCATTAAAAATATATATATCTAGTGATCATCAATGCCATCGCGAAGGACACTCCGGGCGTCGGGGATCGCGGAACGATCTCCGGCCACCATAAGCGCGGGCCTGCAGACGGCGAGCATGGGTGGCTCGCCGCCCGACCAGAACCAGATCCGAGCGTACGGAGTGTCGCGTTCCGTGCGCGCCTTAAATAGCCATCAGACCACCACGGATGGGGCCCAATAGGGCTGATGCTGATGATGATTCATAACGGATTACCGGGGCTCCGGCTCGAAGCGCAGGAAAAGGAACGGGTTGGTTTTTAGTCAGTAAGAGTTTGACACTCCCTCCCGCCTCACCTAGGCGGGAGTAGTCATTCGATGATTTCCCCCCTTAAAAAAAAAGTGATCATCAGTGCCTTATTAAATACTTAGTATATTTTAAATACAAATTTCATGTACACGAAGTCCGTATATATACTCAGCATACGTAACTGTAGTATATATTGCACAATGCATAATCATTCAAACTAGTCACTATTCATGTCAAACATGAAATCAATTGCTTATCATTCTACGAACAAGTGCTAGGCTCAATACGTGTGGAGTTATTTCATGTACTAGTGCATGAACCTTGCTTTTGTTACATATTTTTAAAAACAATTAGAGCATACAATTCTATGTTGAAGCAGTCAAATTATTGGTTGCATTTGGTAAGAAAATAACACTGATTCGCTACAGAAGCAATAGATTTAATTTTAATAAAGTTTATATTTTTTGAAGCCACTACTTTATTTAGCATCCTTTTTTTAGTACTGTGTCTGTACTATAGCACCAAAAACAGCAATAATGCTTTGACCGATCAAGATTGTTTGAAGAAAACTAAATTAAATTACTTCTCATAGCGTTTTTTTTTCAAAAAAAAAAAAAAACTCCACACGGGGATTTGTTCCTGTGTCGTGGGTGCGTTTACAAACATACAAGTGAACTTACACAAGACACCCAAACCCGAAACAACAATTTATGGATTACACAAAGATTTGCTCCGTACGGGAATTGAACTCGCTACACGTTGCGTGGCACTTAGTTATTCAGCAACCGCATCAACCGCGCAGTCACCTTTGACAAACGGTGAAAGAAAACATCGTGAGGAAACCTGGGCTTATAATTTATTATTATAAGTTTGAAATTGCCATCCCACATTGAGCAAGCACGGTGATTATACCGTGGTAGAACGGAGATCTACGCGAGACACAGTGTGTTTTATATTGTGTCTTATGTACCGGGCAATTAAGTGGTTAATGCTAAAATCTTCGCCGTGCGAGCATAGGTCTTTGGTCAGCAGTGGCCGCATATAGGCGGTTAATGATGATGATGAATTTTGATCACTTAACCATTGTTTAATATCAACGAAATATTTTTTTGCTGCTTCCTTCAACCATTGCCTTGTTGGCCGAGTGGTCGCAAGTGCGACTGCCGGGCAAGGGGCAAAGTATTACTGGGTTTTAAAAAAAATCTCAATAGTAGCACAGAGTCTGGAATTGTGCCTGGTATTTAGCAATAGGCTCACCCCCTATTACATGGGACTTATAACATAAATAGTGAAAAGTGGGTGTTACATTGTACAGTGGCATAATGTGCACCTCTGCCTGTTATGTTATGAAATATTTTTTTCTTTCTTAAGTGCCTTCGTGGAAATCGTAACATGTCCTCTATTCTATCTGAAAGGTATGAGGCATCATTACTTGTTCAAAGAAATGCGTATAATATTAAATAAGTATACCTCATATTTTTTATTATATATATAACGCTGAAAGGATTTGTTCGTTTGAATACGCTGATCTCCGGCACTACTGGTCTGATTTAAATAACTCACAAATGTATAATGCATTTATCGAAGAATGGTTACCGGCTATAATATATCACGCTACAATCAATAGGACCCGAGCAGACCGGGTGAAGTCAAAGTCAAAGACAAAATCATTTATTTCATTTAGACCCGAAAGGCACTTTTGAACGTCGACAAAAAACTAAAAGTGAAACTATTTGCTCATTCCAAGGTGTAGATTCCTATGGAGAAGAACGAGCCAGAAACTCCATAGGTTACTCTTTTTCAGTCAGGTTCACAATACAATTCTCTAGGTACATAGTTTGCCGTTTGGATTGTGCGAGAACAATTTAACAAAATCCAGTCAAAGAGTTTGTAGCAGCAAATTATTATACAAAAAAGGATAAATTCTCTCATTGTTATACATTTTTTTTATGGAATCTGCTGGTAAAGATTAGACGGATCACCTAATGGTAAGCTATCGCTGCCGCCCATGGAGACAGGTCGAGGAGACACCAGAGGTGTTAGAAGTGCGTTACCGGCATTTTGGGGATTAGGAATTTGAGTTTATTAGTGATTCGGGGGTTAGGGAGATTGAGGATTGGGGGGTAATTGTAACTCCGGTAATATTTTTATACCGACTTTCTTTTGAAAATCGTGATAGTCACACCATTATTTAGAACTCCAAAATGCTAAATTAATTTGGCTCAAATTGGTGAAGAGGAATTAGAACCAGGAGATGGACATAGGGTACAAAAAATCCTAATAACGAGAAGGGGCTTTTTTTAAGGGGGGAAAATCATCGAATGACTGCTCCCGCCTGGGTGAGGCGGGAGGGAGTGTCAGACTTTAACTGACTAAAAACCACCCCGTTCCTTCTCCTGCACGTCGAGCCGGAGCCCCGGTTACCCGTTAGGTTCTCCGCTACAACGAGAAAGGGCTAAATCAAGATTGCGCGCACGAAGTCGCGGGGAGAAGCTAGTTCAATATACCTACATGTTAAACACACATTACATGTATAATGTACTCATCACGTACCGGATTTTCTAAATAATAAATAAATAGTCAGAAAAATAATATCGAATAATCTTGCTTAGAAGAAAATATGTAAAAGGTATAGTGGAAAAATAATGTTGTATTGTTACTAATAACTGAGAATAAGGACTAAAAAAATAAGGGAAAATGTAAGTTAATTGTAACATGGGTTGCTTCTAGAAAATAAGACTAAGCTTTGAAACATTAGTCACATTTCTCAAAGGAGTTTGTAAAGGTGAAATATGTTAAGTCTTCTTGATTTTGAAAATGTTTTGCCTACGCCTCTTATCCCCAAAGGGGTAGACAGAGGTGCACATTATGCCACTGTACAACAAAGTAAAAAAAAACGGACAAAGTAATATTGTGTTTTTTCTTAATTCTCAGTGGTAACTCAGAGTCTGGAATTGTGCCCGGTATATGGCAATAGGCTCACCCCCTATTACATGGGACTCATAACATAAATAGTGAAAAGTGGGTGTTACATTGTACAGTGGCATGCCGTAATGCACACCTCTGCCTAATCCATCGGGGATAGAAGGCGTGAAGTAATGTTTTGTTATGTTATAAGTGAAATGACTGCAACTCTGCTTGGCCTGGGAATCGAATCTAAGCCTCTATTGATCTATAACGAGGAAGTCACTTAAAATCATAATAGGTAACAGAAACTATGTAAATATCGACAAACAAACATAAAGTAGTACAATATTCATATTTGCTGAACAATTTGATACCAAGGACACTGTGGACAGTGGTATCTATTAGATGAAAGCTCCTATCGAGTGGCTAGAGATAATATTATTTATTTCAATGCGTTTGTTTCGCGAGTGGATGACTGGATGATAGGACTCAGATATAGTTCAAATTCTTTGTGGATAGAAAGTTTATTTTTAACTAAATGGTGCAAAAGAGAAAATCCTTACACCAGGAAGGTACTTTTGAACGTCAAAACAAAGGCAGAGGCCAAACGTCGGCGCATCAAATATAAAAAAAAATTGAAAAATTTAAAATGACACTGTCACAGTTAGTTCTTCCTATAGAGAAGAACATGAATTGATATGAATGTGATTCCTATAGAGAAGAACAAGCGAGAAACCCCATAGGTTATTCTTTTTCAATTAAGTTCACAATACAATGACTGCTTCGTTGGCCGAGTGGTCACAAGTGCGACTGCCGGGCAAGGGGTCTCGTGTTCGATTCCCGGGTCGGACAAAGTATTACTGGGTTTTTTCTTTAATTCTCAGTAGTAGCACGGAGTCTGGAATTGTGCCCGGTATATGGCCATAGGCTCACCCTATATTACATGGGATTCATAAAATAAATAGTGAAAAGTGGGTGTTATATTGTACAGTTGCATAATGTACACCTCTGCTAACCCCTTTGGGGATAAAAGGCGTGATGTTATGTTATGTTCACAATACAATTATTGGTTACATTGTTTGTTTGTACTCCACTTAATTCAACAGAATAATATATTGTCTCCCCAAAATGACAGTCTCTATGACTAACCATTATATAAAATTGCATACACTGCGTATTGACTCCTGATTGCTTTAGTCTGAATGGATGGTTCAACGCGAAATGAAACACAGTTTAAGCATTGTACGCGTGTTGAACGAATCACATTCGCTCACACCAAACACATTTCGAATTAATTGATTTCTGATTGGACGGTTTTCGACAATTTTCATTGTGACTATACTATAAGGAAAGCAATGATAATTGCAGATTTTTGTAGTATTTCAAAGTAACTGTAGCAACCATTTGTTTATTTAAACAATACATACTTATAAAATTCGTCATAAATTTATACTAGTTCGTTAGTAAAAACATAATAATGTAATCTGTTTTTCATAAACTACTATTTGTAACAGACTTGCAGACTGCCACCGGGCAAGGGGTCTCGAGTTCGATTCCCGGGTCCGGCAAAGCATTTATGGGTTTTTAAAAAAAAATCTCAGCAGTAGCACGGAGTCTGGAAATGTGCCCGGTATATAGCAATAGGCTCACCCCGTAATATATGGGAATGAAATAAATAGTAAAAAAAGGGTGTTACATTGTACAGTGGCATTAAGTGCTGTAATGTGCACCTCTGACTACCCTTTCGGGGTTATCATATTAATTTATTTGGAAAAAAAAACTTACGGCATGCCTTAGAGTAAACAATCGCTATAGGCTGAGCAGACTAGCTCAAGGTCAGCATCACGATTACGTTACCGATCATGTAGAATATAGTTTAATGAAGTCATTGTTATCTATCAAGCTTGCTATTTATTGAAGAAATGGGGTATTTATGGAACCTTAGCCTAATTTTGCTCATGTACTTAGGCCGAGGCCGTAATCATTATCAACATCTACACTAATATTATAAAAAGTGAACATTTGATTTTTTGCTTGTTTGTTTGAATAGGCTACGGAATTGGGGCGATTTGAAAAATTATGTCACCATTGCGATTCTACATAATCCGTGATGAACTTAAGATATATTTAAAAAGAGAAAAAAAATGAAACCATATGAAAAGTTCAATAATATAACCCGATATGTGAAATTCACCAAAAAAAAATTTTATATGTCAATCATAATATTGCGCAGACGAAGTCTCGGGTAACAGCTAGTGAATGATAAACCCATATTCAATGTTTATTTGCAAACTCTAATTAGCTTCAACTGTAACATTGAGGAAAGAATGTAGATTATGTAATACATAAATATTTTTTTCGTCTTTTGGTCGCAATTTTATCATCAAAATATCTTTATTACTTAAAATTATATTATTATCATAACGAACCAAAATTGCTAACAAGGAGCATTATACTGTATTGAGCAATTGATTAGCTTTATTGTATTCAAGTACATAAAATATTTTACTAAAATAACGGTTCCTAGAATTTCTTTGTCACGTTTTTCAACTTCAAAAGACTTCATTATGATATTTTCTTGGCAATTTCCATAATCTTCCTCTTTAACTTCCGAAGCTTGAAGAAACATTGTAAAAATGGGTATCTATTATTCAAGTCAATCCACCCTTTTCTAAGATCTTTGCTTAGCAACAGATTGAACGATTTTATTTTTGTAGTTCCATTCGATAGCATTCGACAAATTAATTATAGTTTTTTTTTATGACATAAGCCGGTAAACGAGCAGACGGATCACCTGATGGTAAGCTATCGGCGTCGCACATGGACACCTGGAACACCAGAGGCGTTACAAGTGCGTTACTGGCTTTTTGGGGAATTAGGAGTTTGAGGATCGTTGGAGATTCAGGAATTGGGGAGATTGGGGAAGGGGAGGGTAATTGGGCCTCCGGTAACCTCACTCAAACGACGTTAACACTTTAGTCAAATATATACTGAAATAAATATTCACTTAATCGACTACCATTTGAGGGAACTGATCTCTTAAACCCATTTCTTTTGAGTTAATAGCAAAGATAACTCCATTAAATCTTAAAAATAGCCACCGACCAATGGCCTACGCACGTGACACCGCCATTTTGTGAACCGCACCATTTTGTGGTCACAGTGTGTCATAAAATGTAACGATAAACCCCAATTTTAAATAAAAATTGCCACAATCTGCAATGATTGGTGAAATTGCTCAATTATGCTTCCCAGTTGCAAAACGAAATATATCTGGTGGGTAAAATGTGAATTTTAAAATACAGTATTTAAATTTTTGATTGGTATCGCGTGCTTTGAAATACCAGATATAAAAATCCATTTGAAAATTTTGCATGATCTGATTTAAAGATTTAGTTTTTTTCTATTTTTTGTTATCGGTTTTCACACTTTTTAGCATTCAATCTCAAGTCCACCTGCCGAGCATAGAATTAATGGCGAATCTCTCATAGTAGAAGACATCCATTGTTCAGCCATAAGATATCACGGAGGTAACTTGATGAAACCCAATTCAATGTCACTCCTACCTCTTTAAACAAATAAACACTAATGAAAAAACTTTCCAGAGGGTAACAGCGAAGTCACACATTGGGACACAATTTAATTTATTTGCATTTCACCTGAACCCCAGCCATTGTATACTGGACCCGTGTCAAGAGATTTTGAAAAGGGTTACCCTACCATTCTCAGCTAGCCTCATTTACTTTTCTATTAATTAGGAAGTCGAGTGAAATAATACTTTAAAGTAGGTAGTCATTAGTAGGTAAATTACAGGAGTTAATTAAATTAATAAATATGTGTTAGAGATATTTACTGAGAAATAAGGTAAGACAGGGTTTAGAAACGGTGGATTTTCCACCTGACAGTGGCATACTAAGAGGAAGACCTTTGTTCCAGGTGTTGATGATAATAATGATGACGAGGGTAAAGATGTTTATGAAGTACATCCACATTTCACCAATATGTTACTAGTTCCATCAAACCGAAAATGTATGCTTTATTACGTCGAATTATTAATAGACCAGTTCCATCTGGCGTATAACAAGGTTATGTCTCAAATTCCGTGTAAACAACGTCTTGGCGGCCCGGAGGTTTAAGACGCCCGCGTCTCATGCACGAGGGTGCGAGTTTGAATGTGACTTTTTCCGCGATATGTGGTACTTTCTGAGATTATTAAAACGCCACTTGATTAGGAAAACTGGGCTTATAATTTTAATTATAAGTTTGAAATCGCCGACTTGCATTGAGCAAGTGTGGTGATTAATGCTCAAAATCTCCATTTGAGAAGAGGCCTTTGGTCAGAAGTGGTTACGTATGGGCTGTTGATGATGATGTTGATGTCACAAATAAATAACATACAATTCCAAATTCATTTTTAGGAATTATGAAATATGTAACAATCAAAACTGTTGATCTTACCCAATCAGACACACTAATATTTCAGAGCAACGACAAAAATTTAAAATAAAATTCAAATCTTTCATACCTTACAAGCCTTCAAGGTACTTAGTACACTGGGTAGCAGCAGAGCGGCTATCAATAACAGCTTCTTGATCAGCAGTACTGACAGGAGGATTGGTATGAGCAGGAGCTTCAGCTTGAGGACTGCAAACAGTGTCAGCAGTGGTACTATTACTGCTAGCTTCTTCTTTTTGCCTCGAGCTGGGAATAAGAAAAAATAACTTTAAGATTTTTATGACTTTTTTATAAGTACCATAGGGTTGTGTTCTTCAAAACAGTGAGCCAGATGCATATGGCATATGCTTAGTACAAACTTTTTAATTTTGTCGTTTATAATTTTGTATTTGTATTATGTTAGAATATCAATATACCGTTTGGGGTTAAAACTTTAGAGCCGTGGGGCCCAGGTGCACATCTTCTTAACAAAGATATTCTAAGGAGGATGGTTGACACTTCAGGTGATCGAAAGGCTGGCTTTAAGCATTGCCATTCAACGTGTCAATGCTGCCATTCTTTTGGGCACCCTACCTCACAATAGCGATGAGGAAACATTTTTTTTTGATGCCTTAAGATAGCATTTTTTCGATTTGTTCGATTCTCGCACGGAACAACTCCTTGTGTTATCCACAGATTGTTGTTCGGGGTCTGGGTGTGAACTTGTATATTTGTAAACGCGCCTACAACACAGGAGAACAAGTTTCTTAAAAAAAAACATCTGACGTATTGTTGAATAGGCTCTCGTATATGTACATATATGTATATATACTAATAAAATGAGTAACAAAAATTATATTGCCTCAAAAATTACAATAAAAAATTCAACATTATCTGATCTGGAACTCAAATTCTTCCTCTTTTAGCACTCTAAACTAACGCAGAAACCACATAAATCAACGAAGCATTACTACATAACCAGTGAACCAAAAAAAAACACAAGAAATTAATCCATCACGCTCACAGTCACAATCGTGCAAAGCAAACGAAATAATAATTATGGACAACAAAATTATTTAGTCGCTTACCAACTTTGGGATTACGGTTCAAATTCATCAGGAACGTTAAAATTGAATTATACAGTGATTTAGTTCAGGTCGGAACATCTGTCGCATCAGGTCAGGTCCCACGACTTGACCTCAATAGTTATGACCTTAACGATCGATTGTAATTACAATGATATGCTCATTATTACCGTCTGTTAATTGCTCTCGTTTTTGTTATGGTTACGAAGACGGGTTATTTTATTTAGGTTGTTCTTTTTTTGAGGTTATGAGGTTGTTTTGACTGCCTCGCTGGTCGAGTCGTCGCAAGTGTGACTGACGGGCAAGGGGTTTCGGGTTTGATTCGCGGGCCGGGGAAAGTATTACTGGTTTTTTATTAGTAGTACCGAGCACAGAATTTGAAATTGTGGCCGGTATAACCCCGAAGGGTTAGGCAGAGGTGCACATTATAGCACTTAATGCCACTGTACATTGTAACACCCACTTTTCAGTGTTTATGTTATGAGTCCCATGTAATAGGGAACGAGTCTATTGCCTTATACCGGGCACATTTCCAGACACCGTGCTTCTATTTTTTTTAAATAAAGTCTACGTATGCGGTACAAACTCTGCAAATTTTCTTCCTCATATAGTAATTTCATTTCTTCCTTATAACCCGTTCCTTTATTTTTCTTTTAAAAAGACAATCCCCTTTCATTATATTCCGACTTCTCAGTACTGAATATTTTACACTTCTATTACCCGCTTTGTGCGAATTCGCACCAAGATTATGCAGTGCACTTTATTCCGTAGAACTAAACGAAATACGCTGCCAACAATTTCGCGGTACAAAGCGAAAATATTCTTCAAATTTTTAGTTGAAAATTTGAGAAATAGCTGACACCTAGTTGGCTTAGGTAGAAGTGTATGGTGTGCCAAAACTGTTCGAAAACTTTCTCCGAAATCTATGGTAGCTGCGGTTACGAAATTGTAGTAATGATCGGTGTTGGACAAATAGATCAATAGCGGTTTATTTTTATGGATTATTAGTTGTTTCTTTTATATTATATGTACTTTTGAACTTTAATATTTGCCTTTAGTTATAAAATTAGATTACGTTTCAATAAAATTTGGTGAATAATGCTGTATGTATTTTGTGTGGTTAAATTTTGTGCCGATATCAATTTTATAACTTTAGAGAGTTCGAGAGAATTAATCGTGTAATTTAGAATTACTATCCATAATATTTTGACAGTCTACTACTCATTATAAAACGAATTCGTACACACCTGTCTTAGCATAACCGACATCACGTTTCTGGACACTTTTAGTCCCAGTATTATCCCCGTCATTGTGTTCAGTATCTGGGAATCAAAGAAAACGTATATGTTTGACTTTATGAAGTTAGCAAATTATATTATGATTTAAATTTATATGCTCATCAGGTAATTTTCTCACAACTAGGCATTATTAATTGGTAACCTTTATTTTTCTACAATATATAGGCGTTTTTGTTTTAACTACAAACTTTATAGACTGAGCCCTTAATCAGATTTGACTAAAGGTCAATATTTTATGTAGCAATTTATCCATCACAGTTAAATATGATACAGTTTAGAGCAAATCTCTTGCAAGAGGTTTAATTTATGCAAATCATTATAATCTTCGAACGACCATACGTCTGTGAATCACAGATAAGGTACATACATAAAATATACAATGACCCTTTCAATAAAATCTTCAAGACTCTCCAAGAAGGCCTTACATTTGAAACCCAAATTCAGACCGATTTGCTCTTGACCGTATTTCTTTTAAGGGACAAATACTTTCGAAACCCATCGATATAGGGTGAAAGCACAATTTGCGGTCGCCACTAGCCCACAAGAACAAACAGAGCAAAGTAACCACACCGGTAATGATGTCATTCACCCTATCTTGATACAGACCTACTGTTTATATTTGGCGGCCATGTTTTGCGTCGAAGGCAGTGGTAAATATAGAAGGCATGACATAATGTAAAGGGTGTTTTTGTTTGACTAATGATTTGGTTACAATATAAAATTGGAACACGACATGTTATTGGTATTAGGTTATATTTAAGAACATTGTATAAAAATGGAATACTGATGGGTTTTGTCAGAAAATGGTATAGCAAGTGCTAAGAAATTATGTTTTACAAATTTTGACAACAGCTTAAGTAAAGCCAGCGTTTTGATAAATTGAGCAGTTCTACCTCTAGTCTTTATATATAAAGTGATTAGTACTTGATTTTGATCTCTGGGTAATGGTCCAAATAATAATTAATTTATTCAACTGAAACACTGAGTTTTTTTTGGTTATTATGTTGGCCAAGTGGTCGAAAGTGCGACTGCCGGGCAAGGGGTCTCGGGTTCGATTCCCGAGAAGGGTGTATTACTGGTTTTTTTTAAAGAGAATTCTCAGTAGTAGCACGGAGTCTGGAATTAATTATTAATTATCTATTTTTGTACAAATTGTTGATTTTAATGAAATTGAATATAATTTTTACACCTATAAAATTTGTACGCCACTATTGGCGAAACATGGACGCACAACATACTATTTAACATTATGCATGTCAGATTACTCAGTTTATGTAAACGCAAGTTTGATAAATAAATAACCTTTCTTTCTTTCTTTCTTTCTTTCTTTCTTTCATACAAACAAACTATTGTTACTGTATTTATCAATTCATAATTCGCATCAAACCACAAATCAACACAACAAATACGAAGTTGATGAACATAACTTAAGCGACGTTCATTTTTAATCAGCTTTAGAACACCACTTTACACTTTGATGGAAAAGTTCGTCTCAAGACTTCGTGCGAAGTTTTTAAGTGCGTCAAACTTTTAAATTTCAGTAACAATAAATAGCTAAGTAAGCAATCGAATCAGACAGGTTGAAACTTTATTGTTGAAACGTATTTTTGCTGGATGATTCGTTTGTGAAGTCGTTGTTGATGCGAACGTCCAGCAAGGCGTCTCGGAATTGACGTCCTTGGCGTAGATATGTCAAGTTAAAATCAAATCTCGCTGCTTCGTATACGTTTAGTTAGTAGCATAGAGTCTAAAATTGTTTGAAGATTGCTTCTGTTATAAGAGACCTTTATAATTAGGTGTAACATATTGTGTGGTGAAGTCACCTTTATTATGTATAACTTTACAGTTGTGCACTCCTATTTACAAACATGACATAACATCTTTTATCCCCGAATGGGTAGGCGGAGACACTAAGCAATGTAACACCCACTTTTCACTGTTTAAGTTATGAGTCCCATGTATTAGAGAATGAGCCAATTGCTGTATACCGGGCATATATCCAGACTCCATGCTACTACTGAGATATTTAAAAAAACCCAGTAATCATTTTTGTTCGACCCTGGAATCAAACCCGAGACCCCTTGCCCGGCAGTCGCACTTGCGACCACTCCGCCATTGAGGCACTCCTTTTTGAAAGAAAGAAAGAAAGAAAGACGAAAGTTTATTTCACGCCAAAGAACAAGTAACATGTACAAAAATGTCATTGTATTAGTAGGTACTCATGGATACATGTTCATGTTCCAAGTCTGCCGCGATATGGGACCAGTTCAGCATGTGCAAGACAGGACCTTGCGCTGATATTCTACTGGCCCCTTTTTTTTAAGGCGGGAAAATCATCGAATGACTGCTCCTGCCTGGGTGAGGCGGGAGGGAGTGTCAGACTCTTACTGACTAAAAACCACCCCGTTCTTTCTCCTGCACGTCGAGCCGGAGCCTCGGTTACCCGTTAGGTTCTCCGCGACTCCGAATCGGCATCGGCCCTCTACTGGCCCCTTAAGTGACTCGCGGACGTTGTTTATAGTTGGGTCATTACGATCGTGCGAACTGTCATAAGTTATTTTTATCAGATCGATTCCCGCACGGAACAACTCTTTGTGTGATCCACAGATTGCTGTTCCGGGTCTGTATGCCATGCGTATGTGACATCGTATGTTTGGAAACGCACCCAAAACACAGGAGTAAATTCTAGTCTAGGGTAATGTTTCTTAAAAAAAATATATCAGACCTTTTTTTACTACTTTTTGTAACAATCTCTTGTTCTAGGAAATCATTTGTTTTGTCCAGTTGAGTTATTGTCTCATCACATTATGGAATTTCGACGAATGGAGTATTAACCCGAATTGAAAAGGTCACAGGTTAGTCAGGATTTGGGTGGATTTTCTAG